TACGGCATTTTAAATTATCACTTAATCAACGCTCTCCCCTACAAATGAATACGGATGAATAACTAATTAATAATTAATAATAAATTTTAAATATAGCTAATAGAAACTTTTTTTAAAACTAATATACTTTCCCGGGATAATAATATAGATAGCGACATTATTCTGGACAAGGAACACAAACGATAATTGTTGGACTAACACCACTGCTTTTAACGCGATATAAAAGCGAATACATTTTAGTGCTATATAGAAAACAGAATATTATTTTAACGTTTGGAAACCGGGGGAAAAAAAAAACTGACACGACAAGGTGTGTAGAATACTGGTACGTGGAAACGTATATATTATTGTTATTGCTGTTAGTCAATTTATGTGTTAATATTGATGTTTACCGAGTGCGAATCTACGGTAAAGTAACGAAACCGTCACTTGCCTTTTTAAATAATACCTTCCTACAAACAACAATATTCGCCACCACTCTAACGACGTGTTATTGATTAAGCATATTATTATACTTTCGCAAATGGTCCATAAAGGCACCTATCAAAACATAATCTGTGAAGACGGAAAAATGGGGAATCAAGCGAAATAATGAAATAGAACAACACTTGTCTCGTCTGCGTCAGATAATAGCTGGTACAATGTAGTACGAGAAATCAAGAAAAGATAACTACAATCTATAAGAATGACGTTCGTGGGAGAAAGAAGGGTCTCGCCGATAAATGATTGCTTTTATCTGGATATTCTAAAGGTAAAATACCGTTATTAGAACGCGTATATGTGCAAGGAGGAATAAGGTCAGATAAGAAATTGAGTAAAAAAAAAAAAAAAAGTGACAAAGAATAGGGACGCACCGGAGAGAATATTATTATTCGAGCTTAGAAAACGGCGAAATGAAATTTGGCTTTCAGCTTTGTTTCAATAAGCCACCTCGGGCGTCTATTACAATGGTGTACTCATTGTTTTTCAATGGGACGAGGATAAACTTAAAAAAGTTAATTGACTCAAAATAACTTGCAAAATACACAAATACATAATTGAGCAATGCAATTTCTTATTTTACTTAGTTAAATAAGTAGTGAAAGTATTTAATATTCATAATAATTTGTCAATATCGAATAGTTTATATTATTCCTTTGTATTCGACACGGCCAATGGGAGAGACTAAAGCCAATTTACGCCACTGCTCTCTAGAAGATACGTACTTAGATTTCTCGTATTTTCGGTGGAAAATATTTCTAGTCGTCCTAGAATATTTTCGATTTGACTGAGAAATATTTAATCCCGAAATAAAATTACACTATTATTGTCTCGTAATTAAAATTGTTTTCGAAATAAAAACCGATTCTTCTTGAGAGAGACGATATTTTTTGTATCAGCCAAAACCGATCGAAAATTATAGCATTTAAACGATAACATTGCATAAAATATGTAGAGTATTTTTCTTAAAATATTTTCTTTTTAACGTATTATTGCAGTAGTTTTCTGAAGCAAATTGCCCGTACACAAAAAAAAGAAAACTAAATATACCTAATGTTTTAATTTATATTCAAAAGTTTCCAAAAGAAAACACCCTAATCGATAGCGCTCTGAAACTAGAGTGAAATATTCCCCCAGTCGACCCTTTCCGTTATAATATTAAAAAAATGTTTAATATTCGATCAAAGATAAATAATTTTGCCAGAGTTGTATTACATTTTAATCTGTAGGGGTGTTTAAAACCCGTCATTTATTGCAAGAACATGAAATTTGAGCATACAAATGGTTAGAGTGAAGTTGAAAATTGAAACCCTCAAAATACACACTTTTGGCAAATACGCCATACATATTCAAAATGTCACCCCCCTAGCTTCACTTGGAGAACTGTAGAGGTATGCAAAGCTAAAAACCGTGACAACAAGGATCAAATTCAATTATTGAAATTATTATTATTGAAATTCAATCAAAATTTCATCACTTCAATCCGCCGATAAAACAACTCTGATTCCCGAGGACCAAATGCGTTCTGAATTTGGTCCTGAGAGATTCACTAAAATTATCCAAAAGTACCGGGAAAAACATTATATAACTGGTAAAAAAGCCTATGTCAAAAAAAAAAAAAAAAATGAATTACATTAATTATGGACATTTTTTTTTCTTTTTGATATTGGTTTTTCTAGCATAAAATCACCGGTGTATAGCAGACACAATTTAGTGCAATAATCTCTGTTTTTGGGGAAGATTCGATAAATACTGATCAATTTTTCATTGTATGAAAAGCTTTTTGTCTTTGTACGGGTTTTTTTATTTTTAAATATTCACCGCCATGTTGTGTTTGACATTATAGATTTACGAATCACATTTACGACGTGTAGGTAGGTCCCTAACGTCGTCGTTACTTTTGGCTTTTAAAATTTCATCGCGGAGACTGATACCGATAAATCGTGAACGAACACGTCCCTTAGAAATCGTTTTTTTACAACTGACGTAGATGTCGAGGCCCACTCGAGTTCAAAGTATTTCCGTATTTTTAGATAGTATACAATTTCGTGAACCCATTACAGTGGTGATATTTACTCGGTTGCGACGGTTTTTCGTCGTAATTTATTTACACATGTTACCGTACGGTATTCAAAACGGTCTCGGGTTTTTTAACATATTAAATAAATGTTTTATCCGGTGCGCCCGACGCGATAAATCCAACTGTTACATTATTAATTATTATCAGGGAGGAGATTTTATATTTTATGTATATTATATAGCACTTGAAATCGTACAATATTTAATAAGTGCTATAATAATATTCCCTTAAATAACGTGTGAACTGTGAAATATGCAGTGGCGAAAAATCTTAAAATATTTTGAGAAAACGCATTGAAAAAACGTCAGATAATGGTAACAAATTATTCAAATTATTGTTACTGCGGACAAACGGTACCGATCCGTTTCCAATGTATTATTTTGTAATTGTATTATTCAGTCGGCACGTAGTGCAAACTCAGTACCTGATTAACTGAAATGGTGACCAAATATACAATCCGAGTCGGGGCTTAGTCAATATATTTTCGTCGCGGGACAAACGCGGAAAATAATGTCAGAGGAAGGGGCGTTCAGCACTTATCCATTTAACTTACCGATACTGTACATATCGGTATTGTATATAAAACAATCAACAAAATATATAACATTATTTTGTGTGTTTTACACTTCGTATAAACATTAATTCTTCAATTTGCTCAACTGCACACGTACGCCAGTTAGTGGCCTACCCACGGTGCAAAAGATGTCCGTCATTCAGTAGGCATCAACTTTTTTTTATGTTATTTATGCATTTAAATTGTCTCATATATTATGCATTATATTATGTATGTTATCAGTAGCGGACGCCCGATCGCGACAGTTATTATTGGGAGTGCAGACATTGTTCAATCTGATACGGCACGCTCATAACCCATCTACATTTTAAACACTACCATTACCACTACCCAGTAACTCGGTGAACTTTTTTAACGTAACAAGCGAAGATTTTAGTTTTATCCAAACCACTTACCCCATTACTCTATAATAATATACTCTATAGTCACCATATGTGCGTATAATACTTTAATTAATAAACAATTTAAGAAACAAATAGCTTTAAAATATTATATTAACATTATTCTTACATCGCCATCGCCTTTTATTTTTGGAGGTGAACCGATTACCTACTTCGATTTTCAAATGGCAACCTCCATTCAAAATCCGATAAATATACGGAGTATTAGTTCAAATGCATTTTGACGTTGAAGTGTTTCATTTCGGTCAATCGGTTGACGAGATATTCCACTTCTAAGTATTTGTTACGAAATAGCCAGTAGCGGAGCGGAGCCCTATGCAAACGCCGCGCGCTGTGTCCACGCACAAACGATAATTGGTTTTCTCCCAACTATTGGGTATTTAAGTACACTCCTAGGTCTAATAGGACTAAAAACAAAATTGTTTCATCAAATCAAAGACGATAACATTATTTTACTATGCTTCCATGGGGAATTTTTGATTTATTCAGTTTACACGTAGCATAAAATTACGGAATAAGAGATAGAAAAAAAATTGATATCGATTTTCTAAGGGCTAGGTTTTGTCTAATTGTACAATTTGTTAGTTTTATTTACTTATCGGATTATGGTTATCCTATAATATATTATACCGTTATAGTTTTCGGCTTATTACGATATAAATAACGGTTTTCTGTAAAACTTAGAAACGCTACAACGTAAACATATTATAACGTTATATTATCAGTAATAAAATTGAAGTCAAATTGAAAACATACCGTTTACCTAATGAACATTTTGATAACGCCTTTAATTCCAGATGAAAATGATAAAATAAATTAAATTACATTGATTAAATATTGATTGTAATCAATTGTCACCCCCACTCTTCTCCATCCAAAAATATTTTTTTTAATAGCTACAGCCTTGAAACAACCTAGTTATAACAATAAAATATTAACAATTTGAATTTAAAATAAAATATTATTTTATTTCCTATTAAAGATGCCAAATACTAGGTCTACTATGGGCTTAATCACAATGTTGGTAGAATTAATGTTTATCCCCCCTTTCCCCCTTCAGGCACTTAAATTGTTATTTTGGTGTTCGATGAAAATATTTAGATTTACTATTTTTTCAGATTAAAATTGATAGTGGAGAACAGCATAACCTTATTTTTAGAGGGAAATGGCTAGAGCTCGTGATACCAACACCTTTAATCGTTAGAGAGTTCATTTATGGACTGGAAAGAAAACCTAAAATAGAAAAAAAAAAATCATTAAACAATTATTTTCATTCAAACTCCCGTTGAAAAATCCTGTGGCGTCACTTAATTTATAACATAACTACGAATAGCCAATTTAAGTTTCTATGCCAACAAAAGAAAATATATAAAACTTAAATATTTTAAATTACCCATCAAACATAAAATTTAAAACTAACACTAACCTATTTAGGAATTCAATTTTAATGAATAAAGAAAATAGTATGACAAAGAACGATGAACATTTGATGAATCAAAGTCTAGGTAAATATAAATACATTTTTTTAAATTTAATTTAACATAATTTAATACCAGTTGTTTGTAGAAACTCTGAGTTTAGAAGGTTCAGAATCATTCTATAGTATTGAACAGAATCAATTAATTGGCAAATTTAATAAAGGTGCTATTATAGAAGAATCTCTAGCAAAAGCTCTTAACGAAGAACTCAGGAGAAAAATTATCAAATTATCATGTTCTCAAAAAGCTCAGTTTCAAAGTAAATTTATAATTGAAAATAGTATTGATATTTTATTTTGAAAATGTATATGTTGTTTCCCTGAAAATGTAGCTCCTGGTGTTTGTAGAATATGTTTACAATCCGACTTGGACGATTCGAATAAATGTCTTACTCCTTGCTCTTGTCGTGGAAGTATGTCCAAAGTGCATAGAATTTGTTTGCAAACATGGCTCACGGAAGTACAATCTAACGAATGTGAAATCTGTAAATTTAAATACAAAACCAAGAAGATCGCAAAGTAATAATATCCGATACGCATTCCTATTGACCATATTACGCGTTCACAATTGTAATCAAATCCAACATCAATAATACACTTATACCATTACCAGATATATTACGATCGGCTATCATAATATTACACAGAACTGTTTAAACGAAATGCAAAAACCTGTTTACACATTGATTTACACCGATTGTTCACAACCGTTGGAGTATTTAACCGTGAGAACCGTAAAATTAAATCTCCACACGGACAATATAATCTAATAAAATAGCCGAATAAAACAAAAATATACTACATGTTTAATATTATACGATATGCCCAGCAGTAAATTACGTACGAGGTCTGGCTATTAAATAACGATACTGATTATGAAAAATGGTTTTATTTTGAAAATTATTCCACAACCAAATGTTCCCCTTCAATATACTCTCCTCCTCTCTTCACACACCGTTTCATTCGTTTCTTCCATTGCTCGAGGCAGTGCTGGAAGTCTGTTTTCGTAAGACCATTCAGGTGTTCCGCCGATTTTTGTTTCACCTCTTCCATCGACTCAAACCGGATTCCTTTTAAGGCAGACTTTATCGTCGGAAACAAGTAAAAGTCGCAGGGTGCCAAGTCGGGTGAGTAAGACGCGTGTTCGAGTACTGGAGTGCCTTAAGCGGCCAAATAACGCTTCACAGACAGCGCGTTATGGGCAAGTGCGCTATCCTGGTGCAAGATCCATGACTTGTTTTTCCACAATATCGACCGTTTCTTACGAACTCATTCGCGCAATGCTGCCAAAACTGTCAAATAGTAATGTGGGTTCACAGTTTCACCCTCTGGAATCCATTCAATCATCACGATGCCGTTGATATCGAAGAAAACGATCAGCATGGTTTTAAATTTGGATTACGACTGAATTGGATTCCGGTGCACTCTCGACCTTCGGAAAATAATTTATGTCACTCAAAAACACGCGCCGAGATAGGAAATCCTCACTATAGGCCTCTTTTAACAACTTACAGCACTCAGTTGGAGTTTTTTTTAGTTTAACGAGAAAATTTTACGTTTATCCGTTGCTCGTGTTTTTCGTCACACGTCGTTTTCGGCAAGAGAAAAAAACATGTTCGTTTCTAAACGCTACAGAAAAAATACTAATGCACCAACAAAAACCCAATTTCGTACTGGCATAATAGACACTTCCAGCTAACCAGCGCTGTATTCGGTTTTCCCCTAACCTTTTTTGGACGCTCTCTGCGCGCGCAGTCTCGTTGTTTAATAGCCAAACCTCGTATCATATTAAATTTGTTCAACTCAATGTACATAATTATGTGTGAATTTCACAATATGCCTGCCCAATAATGTTAATTACAATCGTATAATTATAACGCCGTAAGCATTAATAATAGTATGCACCGAATGTGGAGGTGACAATAAGGAATAATTCATGGTACATGAAGAGGTATACACCTCTATTTGTATCTATTTGTATCATGTAAGAGATTAACGTGGATATTTCGCTTATCAGATATTCGTTGATTGGCTCAATAAAAGCATGGTTATGCAGTAGTGAGAGACGAGAAGAAATCAAGGAACTGGTACACGATGGATTTGTGTTATTAATTGTGGCTCCAACCCTGATATGCTTATCGTACGTGGGATTTTGCGTGACGGACAATTTGCTGACCTCACAAATACCGGTAAATATATTATTGTTGTTTGTGTTTTTTTCATTCAAACGGGCAACACCCAATTAAACGTAAATGCAATCGAATTTAATTGTGTACAGATTGCTGAATGTCCCAATGGACTTTAACGGTTTTGCCCACGGATGTTATTATATCATTGATATATTAATATGTCAAAATATAAAATATCTGTGGTTGTAACCCCTCAGTGGCGTATCCATTAAATACAACACTGCACCCTTTAGAACAATAGGATTCTGTTTTATCGACATATCAAATATCCACGGCATAAATACATTGCACGTTTGTACCAATCAACTGGTGTGGGGTGGGAGGGCACAATATTATGTTTTTAGACTTGTTGTTGCCATTAGTCCTGATTTCTCGATTACGTCACGTTAAGTGTCAACTTCAGTATTTAACTGGCATATAGATAATAAATGAATTACGTGTGATTTTAATAATGTTAACATATACATATCGTCCGTTTTAGGATACTGATCCGCTGCTAAGTCGAGTTTTGGCATTTACTGCATGCACAACAATAATGTGTACAGATTTTATGGCTACATTATGGTCTTTTTGTCGAGCACAACATCATTTGGCGTGCTGGACTAATTTCTATAATCGAAGTCAAGAAGTGATTATCGTCATTGACCCGAAATTTTCAGAAAACGAAATAAATTAACAAATGCATTTTATACAATTTTGTAAATCGTTCTGTCAATTTAAGATCGATTAATATTTTGAAATCGAAAAAACAATGTTATATTATGTATATCCTAATCCTAAATTTTTGACGTATCCGTGTATAATTAACAATTCGCATTGCCATCTCGGCGGATGTAAAACACTAATATCACCGTTTAATATCGTTTAATGTTTCTATTTATTGCGTTATCGTCTCAACTGAATACGAACCTATTGATTTGTTTAACGTAGGTATCTTTAACCATTGTGTTTAACACAGCTGTATTTAATATGCGAAAAAATGCGCATGTCGCGTACGACTTTGACCGTGACGCACATTACCTAACGAACAAAATAGAGAAAAACATTTACATAGTGATGTAGACAACAGTTTCATACTGTCGAACCGCTTCTAATCCCTGACCACACCTCAGGAATTAATGTTTTCATACTTATATCTATATAGATATCACGCCTATAGATATAGGCGTGATCAATAAAAATAAGGAGTTTTTCGGCAAGCAATAAAGCAATTAAATTTATTCCGGAATGTTATGGAATCTATGGCATGTTAAAATGTTGAAGTTAAAAATAAACTATTACTATGAAATTAACTTTCAAAGTTAAAAAAAAAAAAAAAATGGATATTAAGTGTTATAAGTGTCTATATTATAATATCTATGCAAATTGAACAGTTGGCACACTTACAACTGTCATAATTCGCACGATTGAAGGACCCCTGTTGTAGGTGCAGTAGTTGAGGAAATATCTGTACGCAAAGATCAATCAATACTAACGAAAAACGATGCATTCCTCGCTCCACTCAGAATCTAAAATAACGTCTGAAAATCAAAAAAAAAAAAAAAAAAACAATACATCAACTCAATATTTTGTGTTTTAAAATTCTTATTGGAGGAAGGAATGTATTGGTTTTACAATGATTTTTTTCTTTTTTTATCTGTGAACGATTTTTTTACCAGAAATGTTGCTCCGATTTTCAAGTGTAACACTTTCTGATAAAGTGGTGGTATAGAGTAGGTGTTGCTAGACAGAGTGGTACTGGTAAGGATGTCATTTTTTTATTTGTTCAAGAGTTTTCATAATATATTTAAAAAACCGGGAAAAAACAGGAAAAACGGAAAATTTACGAGATACATAATTTTCAAATTGTAAACATTAGCGGTCTTTTGAAACACGTATAACCGTATAACATATGATTAATTAACTTATTAATTTATTTATTATTATTAACGCATGATTAATCTTTGTGTACAGACATACAGATGTACATTGAATTTCCCTAACTTAACTTTTCACTTCCAACTACAGTGGACCACCATCGTGAGAAGTATGTGCGTTTATATTTAATCGTTGGTTTGTGATAAAATTGCACCGTGTATGTTGGGTACGATATTATTAAACGCATTCGTATCGCTTAGTGCAGAAAATAATACGAATTTCGCGTACGTTTTTGATCGATGGGGCGGTCGTCGATCAGAATAAAATATTCCCCGGGTAGTCACTATCTTACCACTAGATCAAATAGTGTAACGTTTAATGCACTAGGAGAATGCGTGTAATAATACGCATTATAATACCTCGAAATAGACTTAAAAGAGTTTGAAAAGTAATCCATCTAGGATATTCGTCGTTTTTCAAAATCGGTATCGTTAGACGGCGCACGCAATCGCGAATCTAGAAAACTCAAATAGAAGGGGAGAGCTAAACACAGAAAAAAAAAATAAAAAATAACCACTGTTTATTTAATTAACAAAAACTGAAATGCGGCCAATGACCAATCAAGTCGAGGCGTTATGTTATCATGATAATTCATACAATTCATGTCGAATTCAATATTTCGTTTTAAAATATCGCTATATTTCACTATATTTCAACATATCCTCCCCCGTCGAAAATATTAAAACCCGCAAACAATTGATTTTATTGAACATTGATGCACGACGCGTGACGCATAACCTGGACGACTATTGGTTCATCCTCTCGTAATGGATCTCTCTCTGAACACAGAAATCGGTCAAAGGACTTTAAGTCGGCTATTATATAAAGTATACCTACTATATGTTCGGGTTTTTGTTATCCTCGGGAAATGCGTTGCCGAAACGATCGTCATGTAACTCAGTTCTGCCGAAAACACGCAGGTAAATAATAATAATAATTTTGACGTTGCCGTAGATTGAAAAATCAATACAACTACTTAAAATACGTATTAGTAGACATATTATTTTTTTTTTTTACCTAGATACATATTTTATATTATCGACAGCGACGCGGCCATATCGCGAACATCGATCAATATAATATTTTAGACGACTCGGTCCTAAAAGGGGAAATAATATAAACGACACTGGCGAGGATTTACACCGACCACGGCAACGACTCGGGTCCGGAGAGGTCCAGTTTCCGGAAACGAGCATCTGTACATGGTCGGGAAATTTTCACACGACAACAATGATGTCCGACTGTACCGATAATAAATAATAATAGTTTCCGGCATTCGTTCTCTGTGGGCGCATGTCGCGTCATCGTCGTCCGTGTAATAACAACCGGCGACGAGGGCCCAAAAAACCCGACCGATGTTTAGTATAAAAAACGCAATTTTTCTATTTAGATTTTTGACCGAATTTGATGCTAATTTAAGAATGATTCACATGAGATGCGGTGAAATTAAAAAAAAAAATAAGTAAGAAAATGCTTGTCGAATTTACGGTTATCTAGGCTAAGTTTACCGGTTGGATCAAAGTTTGATGGAAATACTCCATGAAGTGACCATCGTTAACGCTGTGAAATTGTATAAATAATTCATTCTTCGATTCTAAGAGCGGCATGGCGAGGAATACGTATTTCTTTTACTATATTATGATGTGTGCTTTTTTTTCTTTTCTTTTTTTTCGCTGCCAGCAAACGACTTTTCTACCTGAAGTTTTGCTCCGATTTAAATGTGTAGCATTCGTTCTGCAATCATATTTTACCACTAAATAACCATTATTTTACACTACAGTAATCGTGGTAATTGAAAAATACGTGGATTAAATCGTTTCGGCCTAGCGGAAATGTTTGGAAAATCATAGTACGATAAATAGTTATTAGTGAAAATTTCCAATCAAAGTATACGTGCTTAATAGGTTTACTGTTCAATATCAACTTCCTATTATATGATACCGTTATCGATAAACATTGTTTCAGTAAATCACCGTGTAGTGTGTATAACGCGTGAAAAACGGAAAATATTGAACGAAATTGAACAAAAATATTTCACATTTTTTTATAATATTTTCAATTAAAATCAGATATAAAAAAAAAAAACTATTTACGAAAAAAATTAACTAATTAGCAGATAAATGTCGGTAAAATCGAATGTACAGTGAACAATATAGATAATATACTCATTATCTATTTTTTATGTAGATAATAATAAATAACACTTAATTGATAGTACTGATAAAAATAGATACATTTAATTAGGCGTAAGCACATGATTATTCTAACAGGGCTTGACACGCCCGGTATTTAATAGGTCTCGTTTTACGCCACTTAAACGGAATTATTGAAAACGAACGTGAATTTATCAACTCTGGACAAAATTTAAATTCGCTGTCAAATAAATTGTACACGTGTATAAGTGCAACCATCGTGTCACCATCGCGATTATGTTCTTTCTGTTATGCGATCACAAAAGTACCAAGAGAAGTTAAGAAATCGTTTTTCCCAACAAAACAACTTTTTGTCTGTGTCATGCAATTCGTTGATTATTTTTCAACAGTAGATAAAACACGGGCCTACTTCGCGCTATGGGGTGGGCCACTAGTGTAGGCGAGATGTTGAGAAGGTATTATCGATATTATAAAGGGGAATTTAATGTATACACATATGTACGTAACGATTAATCATCGCTAACGTAAAACGGAGTTGAAAGGCCGCACGGTTTTACGGTTCGTAAGGTGCACGGTTAATATTGTACAGAATTTGAATTTTTTTCAAAATTAGCAACCGCGCAAAATCAGTATTTCAATGAAACACGAATTTTGAATACTTTAGTCGCAAACTGTATAAATACCATTTTTTTTTTTTTTTTTTAAATACCGGATATGTCATTTTCAATAGACAATAATTTTGTTTTGTATTAGATGAAAACCGAGACGTCAAAACCGTAAAATATCGAACGATACATCGGATTTAAATATAAATACGTTGCAGTTTATGCTTTATATTTTATACCTCGATTTAATAGCGTGCATATTTTTTATTTCGAATTACGCTGATTCGCCGGCCTAAACCGAACGCCATATTGAAATCTAATAGAATCAAAACACGCTTACATATCGGACGGTAATATTATTTATGCCTTCCACTCATCTCATTTGTGCTCATCTCCCACTCGTAATTATTAAGCCACGCGTCAAACGATATTATTAGAAACAAATAAATTACGAATAATATTAATAATCATCTTCATAATTTGTTCGCGTTCCACCTCGTAATATTCACAAACGAACGGTTTCGCATCGAAGAATAATCGTCGTTAGCATTTCGAGTTTATGCGACGTCGGCCGGATTATTTCCCCGCAGTAAATATTGACGTCCGAAACGATTTTACTGGTCGCCGCCGTCTTTTTTCCCGCCTATACAATAAAAGCATGCTGCAATAACCGTACAGCAGTAAACTACTCACAAATAAAATTTGGTTAGTAGGCTTTTTTGTGTGTGCTGTGCAAAAAATTTGGCGACTGCACGACCACCTGTAAGATAAATGATGTTGTTTAATAACATCATTTCCTACACAGCCGGGCATATATTTTGTAACCCAACGAAACGAACCAAATATGATAGTCTATGGTTTTGTTTTACTGTGAGGTTTTTTTATTTAGTTTTTTTGGCAAAGAAAAACTTTTCTACCAAGACTATTGCTTCGAGGTTTTAGTGCAGCGCATTTTCTGAAAGACGGCGGCACGCCCCTCAGCAGTATCAGTTTTTTTTATT